GGAACAATGAACGAGCGAACAAACGAGGACAACGGCAGGCCCAAAAGAGCAAAGAGGCCTAGGCCCAATATCCCCTCACAAAATAATTACAAAACGAATTCGTTGCTCCACATGTTTGTTGACGTTTTTAGCTTGTAGGCCTAGGACATGAACAAGAGGACAATTTTTTTTGAAAGGTTCGCGCCTATTAAGATCTAGTCTTTGCAGTGATTGACCTTGAGGTCACATTTCACCTAATAATCGCTTTTTTTTTGTGTTGCAGCTAAAAGTGTGCAGAGCTAAAATCGGTTATTTGCTGTTCAAACACGCTATCCATTGCGTGTTCTTAATCAATATTTTAAATCGCTTTTTTCAAACCGGTCCCGTTTCTACTGCAAGATAAAAGTGATTTTTCGAAAAAGCGATTTTTAATCGATTATTTCTTTCCAGTAGAAACAAGCCCTTAGGAGTATTGACAAGGTGGTACAGTATAATGTGGAAGTCTTAGGGGAAGTGGAACCAGTTGGAGAATTATTGTGTGTGATGATTTTGTAGTATTTAAGTATAATTCTTGTACTTTTTATGGAGGGAGTAGCCTGGGGAGGTCAATTTTTTACCCCCCTTAAATATGCCTCTGCGGCCTGCTGTTTTCTGGAATGTTTGAGTCTACCCACTAGATGTACAGTTCCCAGAAACAAGCAAAAAAGCTGGCTATGTCATACTGGTATGTTAGAAGCCTTATGAATTTAATGTCATGGTTTTATGACCTTTGAACCCTGTAATTATTTACACTGCATGCTTTTATATTTTTATTTGATTTATTGCCATAACTGGAATAAGTGATAATTAACCCCAATCTCACCCTGCTTGTGTTTACATGCAATAATACTCATAAATTTAGGATGTAATTCAATGAATCCCAGTATTGTTACAGAGTAAACCAGATGTAAACAAATTCTAACAAACTGCTTGCCATTATAATCAGTTTGGATCTTTATTCACCATGTTAGAGGTACTCAAGTTTCTGAGTTTTTGAACTTGGCGTCCCCTTACTTATTTCATTTTAAACACAAACTATTTTACGTCCATACTAAATTTTTTAATCACTACCATGTACAGCATTCAAAGGAGTTACCAAGTCCTGATGTCAGGGGTTATGGAACAATTTACTGTGGCCTGCCATTTTCATTTCCCTTTGCTGGAATTATCAATTTATGTGAGAGTGTTGTTGAATGTCCCTATCTGTTCAAATAATAAACTTAAATATATCAAATTGCAAACCAAAAGAATCTTCCACACCACAACTATAACAGAGTGCCCTAATTAGATTTTACGAAAGAGATATTAATTGGCTACACATTACATGAAATAGTATACTGTAGGTTTTAGATTGATCAATTATAAAGAAATGACCAATGGTTTGTACGAGAAAATGCGTGGGAAATGTTTATATTGCATAAGTCTTTAGTTGGTCATTTCAACGCTTGCCAAATGTTTGTTCAGCTGAAGTTTTTCGCTTCTCCATACTGGCAAATATACAAATGTTTTCATCTGAGCATCATATGTAATTTTCAGTTGCATTTCTTGAGAAAAGATTCAAAAATATTCAGGTTGTCTTAAATGAGTACATTTAGATTGGTACTTGGTTTCTCCAAAGAGTTAAACAAATTAGCTTGCAATTCAGCCAGTATACAATTTCTATGTTGATTGATGAAATTTACATTATTCTACATGCTTGTTGACTTCCAAGTATAATTTTACAATTTATACAATGGGCTATCCTACATTTTTGAATATTTAAATATTCAAAAAATATAAATGTTTATTTATTCATATTTTTAGAAGGTGAAATAAGTATTGATAAATTAGTAATACAGGTACTTCCCTTATCTCTTTATAAGATAACAAATTGTTTTTTTTTTCTTTTTTTGAATATGAATTATAATTATTATTTCTTTCTGTTGCATTTTTTACTTTTGATTAGTTAAATATAAAACTAATGATAAATTATCTGATTATGAAATTGGGGCATCGTATACCAAAAAGGAAAATATGGCATTCCCTATCAAGTTTTCCAGTTAAGTTGGATTAAAAAGAAAATAATAAAAACGTTTTATTGAACATAAATGTGATACAAATAGTATAGAGCTGGAATTTAGTAATGTTTTTAAAATCACAGTAAAATTACACAACTTGACACATGTTTCTTGCCCTATTTTTAAAGAAAAAATGAATGGATTTATAGGGATTTCATTTTTTCTTGATGAAATCATTTTCACATGAATGAATTTTCTTGTTACTTGGCTAAATATAGTTTGAAATATTTTTAGATACTCTTGATATTGCAAAAATAGGTATATAATTGATTAATGTTTCTAGAGTATTATTTGGGGAGTAAATACTCGTTAATGTAATTTAGCTTTTAAATTTATATATTCCAAGTCCAATTCCCATTGGAATACCAGTGTATTCCAAGTTCTACTCCTGCTGGAATACCTGAACTCACCACATCTTAAATTTGTATTTGCTCTTGTCAGAAAAACCTATTCATAGATACAGTATCCAAACAACAAATAATGATCAACATTTACCTATTTCTTTGTAGAATATATAATGGTTAAGATAACTTGAACATCATTAGGTTTGACAGCTTAGCTAGACAGAATGTCTGGCTAACCAGCCGCTCATGCAAGATCAAAAGACAATTTTCCCTCAGCACATTACGAGTGACACAAATACTTGTGCACTACCACCCCTTGAAAGCTCTCGGAGGGAGACTCATTACGTCAGAGAATGCAGTATAAAAAAAATACTGAACACAAGAAGCTATTATTATATGATTTCTATGTGATTTAATATAAACAGCATTATACATGACCTGATTATGTATAATATTTTCAAGGCAGTGTATTTTATATGGAAAAATGAGAATGGCTTATTGATATTTGGAAAAATCATTGTTAATTTCCTATATCCTTGGTTGAAGGTGATTTCTATATCTTCTCATCCTACTGTAATACTCTTTGTCGAGTGATGATTTATAAATGGACTACGCATTTATCCTAATTATTTGTTTGCCATTTTTAATATATTTTTTCATTTGTTCAGTAACTATTGCTTTACCTTGAATTTCAAATGAGTCCATTTTGAAATGACTGCCTTTGTAAAGGTAAATTTGTTCTAACCAATTTTCATTAGGAAAAAAAAAAAAAAATAATGTTATTTCAGTGCCCAGGTAACATCTTTGTTTGAATTACATGAGATTCTGTGAAATAAAAAATATTATAAAACTATCATTATACATCATCTATGATAAAATACATAAACAATTACATAGCATCATTGAATATAAAATCATTATAACTGATGATTGATATTGAAGCAGCTTTGGGATAATTTTAATGATAAACCAAAGAATTATTATGAAAATGAAAAAATGTACGGTAATGAGAAAACTGAAAATGATTGAAATTCTAGCGGATCATTGCTATCCTCTCTTGGATTTTGACTTCATAATAAAAACCTTGGGGGAGAAAACTCTTTGCACAGTGCAATGTAAAGTTGAATGGCTTCAAAGATATACAACTAGACTAAAACAAAAGAGCTTGAATGTGTCATAAAATTTGTGGAATGCAATGGAGAACATTAATGTTACTGCCCAGCAAAGTAGGCCAAAGAAATGTGGACCCCTATTTTTTTTTTGTTTTTTTTTTGTGGGGGTGTCATAAAATTTGTGGAATGCAATGGAGAACATTAATGTTACTGCCCAGCAAAGTAGGCCAAAGAAATGGGGACCCCTATTTTTTTTTATTTTTTTTTTTTGTGGGGGGTTGTGAACAATTTTGAAACCCCCTTCTCCGCTTTAAGTTCTGGATCCGGCCCTGCCTTGTCTTAGTTTGGTAATATAAGCTAAAGGTAGAGTGTACCACTGTGATATAGTTTTAGCCACCGACATAATTACCTACTCTACATGCAATCATAAAAATGTTGCAATGCTATGGAAAACATTAATGTTACTCAGATCCCAACTGGATCTGTGCCTGTGTATACATTATCACCTTGAAACTGAAAACCTAAACTGACCAGCAAATTTGAACAAGTTAGTTATAAAAATGTGTGCAAACATTATAACCTTTTATCCCTTGCTTCAGTTTTCTAACAATAAGCTAATGGTAGTGTGTACTACTGTGATAGTTCAAGTCACCAACATAATTCCTACATGAAATCATAAAAATGTCAGAAATGCTATGGAAGACATTAATGTTACTGACCAGCAAATCTAAACAAGTTGGTCATAAAAATGTGTGCAAACATTATAACCTTTTATCCCTTGCTTCAGTTTTCTAACAATAAGCTAATGGTAGGGTGTACTACTGTGATAGTTCAAGTCACCAACATAATTACGTACATGAGATCATAATCATAAAAATGTTAGAATACTATGGAGAACATTAATGTTACTGACCAATAAATGTAAGCAAGTGGGTCATAGAAATGTGCATGCACACATTATAGGCTGAAAATAACCTCACATCCCTTGTCTTAGTTTGCTAGTATGCGGTAGTGATAGAATGTACTACTGTGATATGGTTCAAGTCAGCACCATAATTACCTACATGAAATTGGCAAACATTGTACTTGTTTTTCCTGATGGGTGGCCTAGCCAGAATGGCATGGGCATCGCAAATAAGTTTCACTTGTTAGATTTTACGCCTTGGGTATTAGTTGGTGCTAAAATATAAGCTTATTGCTGGTGAAGAAATTAATACTCACCAAGTGTATCTGTATTTGTTTACTGGTGTATATAAATTTTGAAGTAGATTCTAGTAGAAAGTGTCCTTTTAAAAGTGTATTAAATTTAACTGTTTTGTTATAGTCAGTAGAGGTGGAAAAGTTTCAATGCTAAATGATATTTATATTTCTGCTATAAATATCATTTATAGCAGAAATATAAATGATATTTATATTTCTGCTATAATTATTAATTTATTGTAATTAATGTGTTTTGTTTTGTCTTGTAGAATATGGATACAAACCAGTTCTTCAATATGAGCATCTTCGTGGCTGTGTTTGTCCTGTTTGCTATAGTTTGCCTTCTGATTCTGCTGAAGTTTATGTGGAGACAAAGAACAAGACAGGTAAACAAATCCAAATGCTGCCTTAATTCATTAGTGAATTTAATAATCATATATTTAAAATAATTTGAAATCAATAGAGATGAAATAATTTTCGTATCAGACACCATTTCAAACATTTTACCACCACAGGTTCATTGAATGTTACATTAATTTTGTTTATTCTTATTATTGAAAACACAATTTGAAATTTGATTAAAAAAATAGTATCAATTATATATTTGTTTATTTTGTATTTTCATCATGCAATACATTCTGTATACCTGTACTTGGTTTTAAATTAAGAATTCTACAACCAAAACTATTTTAAGTTCTAAACAAATCCATTCATTGTCAATGATCAGTCATTCTTATTTATGTCTGGATTCATCATATAAATACTTTATTCATTATACAAACACAAGTTTACAACAAATCTAATGAATGCAATTGATTTATATTTCTATAAATTTATTAATTTATGTGTATTAATTGTATACAAAAATCACAAATCGAAGTAGTTATCATTATGATTTGAACAGATCGTTATCAATAATTGAAACTTAATGGTAGGTAGGAAGTGATTTAATGCTACTGTACATAAACGTCATATACAACACAAATATCATCTCTAAGTTATACATAAAAATGTGCAATTCATACGGTAAGTGATAAATAAAGCGTGATGTTGACTTGCTTTGTGCGATAACCTGGGATATGCGGTGATGTAACAAACAAAGAACATGTGAGAAATGACCATTGAGAATGTCAAAGTTAAGACTTTCATCAGGTTCTATTGCATTCTGGGGATTATTTGCCAATTATTGTGTCTTTGCCGTTGTACTTACCCAAAGCCTGGACATCTGTTGAGTAAGTTGTAAACGAGTGCGGCTTCTACATCTAAAACATCGGCGATGATCACGTTGGCTCAGGAACTTAAGCTGAGCACAGAACAATAGGACGTTGTCGTGCTTAAGCAAGGTGTACCGACGCAACTCATCAATCTTCAGCAGAATTACATCCACTGAATGCAATGCAACTTTCATCATTACATCATAAAAATTGATAATATCTGCAGTAATTTATTTCCACATTACATTTTAAAAATGCGGTTAGTTTTCATGTATACTGGTAATCGTTGATGTTGTTGTTCTGAATTTCAGCCGCTAGTAATTAGAATAAATCCCTTTCGCTTTACTCTGCTTTGATGTTCAAATCTACATTCTACCAAACAACTGTAATAGATGCCAAATGGCTGTTTTGTTGACTGTTTGAAATCTCTTTGGATTCTTGCTCATTGCATTACAACATCTACTCTGTATTAATTGCATATAATATATATTGCATGCTCTTGTTACATTAGCCGTATGATTCTGGCACCGATATCCAGTATACTAATGGTAATAGAGTGTTAGTTGTACACATTACTTTTAGTTTTGGTCTATCAACCTATTTATCTAATGTGATTGGCAACAGTAGTAATATGAACTGTAGTGTTGGAACCTAGATTAGGTTTCTTTAAAGAATGGTTTCATAATGTTTAAAGTATATTATAATAAATATAGATAAATATTTAGTTTATTTGAATGGATAAAATTGATAGGTATTTAAAAAGAATTATATAGTTGTTATAATATACATTTTTATATTGTTGGCTGTCAGTCATTGTGATTAACTCAATATTAAACTATCCTACATAAATATTTGCATCGAATGGAAAAAGGTTTCATCTTTTTTAAAAATGTTTTTTGTCTCCCAGACTACCACGGCACAAATGACTCAGAATACCCTGTCACAGATGAAGGTACGCAAGTACAAGAAGCTTGACCAACACAGAGGGCAGTATGACACTGGACGTCGTAGTGTGAGTACGCTGTCAGATGGTATTCTATGTGCTATTTGTTTAGAGGATTTCAGAGATGGAGAGGTAAGATATTTATCTTAGATACTTTGCAATGACTACAGGACTACCGTTAGTGGTAATTTTTGGTTCCTTCATTATGTCCCGCCTTGAGCACTACTGCAGTGGTTATGTTCGCTTTATGAATCTTATTATTATATATTATTACTACCGTAGATCTTGTTTAAGCCCAACCCCATGAACACAAAAAATGTGCTAATTTTTCGGGTGGGATGGGGCTGGGGGTAGGGAGGGGAGTAATGTTATACCTCAATCCTTTTTGACCTGTCCTTTAATTTTCAGGGATGGCCAATTTAAAAAGTCAATTTTTCAGCACTGCATACCTGATTGAAAGCCAATCTTTGTTTTTTTTTTTTTTTAAAGTATGACAAATTTAGCTGGGCCACTCATTAAAATCTTACTCTTGGTTTTGATCCAAGAAAAGATGCGTATGTATTATTGGGCGTAAAATAGTGGGTGAGCTTATACCTGATGTGGGCTTATACTTGAGGAACTTCAATATACAGTTAAGGTGTCAAATGTATTATTTGAGGTTGAAAAGTTACTTTTCAAACAACATACACACATTTTGGGGTCCATCTCAGTGTAGCTTGTTGTTGTTGTTTAAGATGCTTTTTTAAGATGCCTTCCAGTCCCAGGATCCTGGGTTCAAATCTTGTGATAGCAGAGGATTGTTTTCTCACAAATAAAACACGTCTCCACTCCCGAAGCCTCATAAAGATAAAAAGCATCACATTATTTAATTTATTTAAGAGATACCCTGAATGTCAGCCAAACTTCTAGGATACGATGGGAGGGTCACCCTCTATAAATATGGTTAAAAAAAATATTTACAAAAAAATTAATTGATTGTAATATTTAGTGGTAACTTAGATATACAAAAGTAAACAATTAACATACCAAATATATATCCTTCGAGTACAGTACACATTTTATAATTATATTAATACATTTGTTTACCTTTCTAGGATATACGTGTTGTCCCATGCAGCCATGAGTTTCATAGACGTTGCGTTGACCCTTGGCTCTTGACGAATAAGACATGTCCCCTCTGCATGTTCAACATCATGGGTAAGTTTAACACCCTCTTCATCTTTAAGGAATGTAATGATGTGAAACAACACTTACATCTATGCTTAAAGAAAGCTTCACTTATATGGGGTCACACTGTTTATCTAAACTTGGGATTACTTTTTTTAAAAGTATTTTATAAATTAGACGTACATGTCAATTGTTTCAACCATAGACATGTTTATATAATATACATAAACCCTTTAATTGCTTGTACCTGGTAGCATTGCTCAAAAGGCAGCCTCTCGACTTTGTGCTTTCCAGTACCAGCCACAATGAAATAACAAAAATATGGAAGAAATCAATACAAGAATGCTGTTGTAAATATTGTAGGGGTAGACTTCTGCTTGACTCATTTGAAGAACATATTCAAATTTATTTTCCTTTGAAAGTCACATTCATTGGTGGTTTACAATGCATTTCTTTGATCTTTTCATTATTTCCAATACCTTTGTAATTCTTATAATATAGTTTCAAAATATATTTGTACTGTGAACTTTAGAATGGCCACACGATGGTCTTGAAATATTGTTCTGTATCCTGCTTTATTCTTTTGTTGAACATAGTACTATATACATTTTGTATAGTTTTTAATATGTAGCAAAGAATATTAAATTTTAATATTATAAATATGAAGAATGAACATTTTTTCTTAATTATTAATCATTAATATCTTTATAAATAAATATATTAATGAATATTGATTATTTTTTATATTAGTAAAATAATGTCAATCATCATAATTTCACACCATTCTACTTTATACTGATTATCACATACAAGATATTATTTTACTTTAGAACCAAATTTCTCTTATTAATTAATGAACATAGGTCTTCATTAATTTCACACATTAGGGGAAAAAGTATCGTCAAGTAAGTCCATTAACCTGTGGAATTGCCCATATAAATATCTATCCTTAATTTCAAGCTCCATTAAATAATTGAAGGCCAAACTAGGCACATAAATTTCAATTTATTTCTTTTACGTTGTATTAGTAAAAAGCATCTCAATATATTCATTGAATTTAACAATTTCTTTCCATATGAATTTTCTAAAATCTATTTTCAATTATCTTTTCAAATTAGAATTATCTCCAGATGCCCATTTGTGCGTGCCAAACACAGTTCCTGATCATCGAATTGATCGTAATTATGTGCAATCTGTTCGTCTATCTGCGGCTCTCCAGCGTCGACAAAATCTGTATAGTTCTGTTGCGGCAACAGGTGGGGATCAACGGCAATCTTGGCCTGGATATAACCGTCGTCATAGTCAGCCCGGCCCATTATTGGCCAGTAGTCCATCTCGCAGGAATGCCAACCGACATCCAGAACAAAGTGCCACGCAAATTGATAATGCAAGGCTGAATAGGACAGGCTCACCGAATCTCTGCCATCGGTGCGAGAATCAGCAAGCTGCAATGCGTAGAGGTGGAAATAAGCCAAGTCGAAATACATATAGACAAGGTGTAAATAGACAATTTGTACATTTGCCCAAGATCTCTAGCAATCAGTCATTTTTACAGTTTGAAGCTTTAGCAACACAGTCGCAAAACGGTGCACAATATGTTAATCCTCGAGATCAAATAGTGCACGATTATTTATATTTTTATGAGGATTGTCCGAGCGATTTGCGGGAAACAACATCTTTGAGCAGTTTAACTCCATCTGCTTTTCATGCAGATTGGGAAGTTAGTGACTCTAGCCGGAATTCTGGAAATTGGGACAATTTTGACAGTAACCAGAGCATATATGGAAGCTGTACAAGTTTGCGGAGTGACCCTATCCCACCGGATCCTTTAGTATATTGTAGACCAGAATCATTATTACCTTTCCAGTCATTAGAAAATTCAGTACAGTTATTGCCAAAATGTATACATAGAACTAGACGCTACCATAATAGAAAAGTTGACAGTGATGAATCAAAAAAATCAAGTCAAAGTAAAGTGACGGACATTTCTTTAAAAGTCAACTTATCGCAAGAAGACAAAGACCAGTCGCAATGTGGACTTGCCGCGGAGAAGCGATTTGCAGCTGCGGCAACTGAATTTGAGCCATGTTTAAAATGTGCCTACAGACGTATCAAACGATTACATGAAGAGTACACAGGCTTCTCGAGACATTCACCAAAACATTTTCATAAAAATCGATACAAGAAAACGCACAGGTCGCCCGAGAAGGTGTGTACTCATCGAACAATGCCTTATGCCGGACACCTTACCAGAATGAATTGTAGGCGGAAAAATAGCTCAAGGACAAAGGCTGCAGATAAACGAGTTCATCAATCGGGCAGGTCTCAGTGTCTGGCGAATAAGTCAATAGCATGCAAGGTGCCAACTGACAGATCAAATATTGTGCAATCCGTAGCTGTTTGTGAAGCAGACAGAGGTGAGTTCACGTCCTAAATCCTTGTCCATTTACATTTACTGCAATTTTTGTGTACCTGTCTCTTCCCAGTCTGACTGTTGTCCCACCATTCCCATGAATTTTTGAAGATATTTTCCTTTTTTTAAGGACTAGGAAAAGACTTTTTATTCTTTTACCCCTAGGTTTGAACAACAATTAGATTTAATAATTTAGATTCCTGGGCAGTATTAATGATTTTCAAAGTAGACAATTTTGAAAGTAATTTTACAGTATACATTAACAGAGAAAATACAAAAAAATTGTGATCATCTTCACAATTTTATATAATATATTTATTTTTATTCCGTTTTTAGGTAAAGTGCAGATGTTACCAGTACACAAGGGTACCAGGCACCTTCTGGAAGCATTAGTGTGAAAGCGTATCATCATACTAGAACGACTCAGTGTGAACAGACCCACCTACCTGAAAGCATTAGTGTAAAAGTGCACTCCGCGCTCAACAGTGTGAACAAACCATTCAATTATCTTCACAGAGAATCTACTTTCTGACACTCTATTTCCTGGTGTGTGATTAAAAACAGTATCGAAAGACTACATCAGAAATGCCACAATGGGGCCATTTTGTTAGCGGGATGGTTTCATCTTCATAATGCTGTGTTTTTTGCATACAGTAATAATCACATCATGAAATAAAAAGCATTGTTGAATGAAGAAGCAGACAGTTTACTTTAGCAATAGTTTGATAGTGAATGTGTGTCTTCTTCGGGAACCCGTGAACTTTTACATGAATGTGGGATATAACATGAGTGATTTATCCTAATTTATCATCATAAATTTTAATTTTTATGGATTCCAAGTTACTGAAATTAAATTCTTATTTTCAAATTTCCCTCTAAAATGCGTGTTTAGAAGGTAAAGAACTTGCCAATATGCTGACATATTTCTCTTTTGTATTTTTCCAATTTTCCAATTACAATTCAATATTTACATGTACTAGAATTGATATTACCATTTTTATGAATTAATAGATTTGTGTGTTGGTATCTGTGTTTGCAATCAGCTGGCTGGTTGCTATTAAACAATAAATCAAATTGATTTTTTGTGAACTATAGTATATTAAGGAAAACAACTACATTTTACAGGGTCTGCCATTTTAGATAAAGTTTTGTGAATACTACTGCAGGTCTATTTAGATATAATAATATGCTTCCTTTTTACCTCCATTTATATGCGCTTAATTATGTATTAATAATTTATACACAATAAATAATTAATATTTGTTGGACTGTCAATATATTGATAGAGACTTTGTTCTGTTTGGTGTGAACTTTTTGAAAGAGGGGGACTCACAATGTATGTAGTCAAACATGCATGGAGATTTGATATTGCAAGATGTTTGACTGTCGAGGTTTTCGGAATCCAATCTTGAAAAGTACTATCACAAACTAGAGGCCGCCCTTCAAAAGAAGGTAAAAGTTGTTTGTATCAAATGCGTGCTGCATCAATATGACGCATGTTCACGTTTCAAACTCTATTTGAATTCAATTAAGGATGCTCCTATCTCGTGATGGTACTTGGTTTTTCGTCCGTTGCAGATGCAAAATCAAGACAGTCAGACTTCTTGCTATTCTATACTCTTTGTTTACATGTTATTTA